GACCAATATTTTCGGCAAATTTTAGTGATGCTTTAATTTTGGCGCCCAGTGTATATTGTATGCACAGCTTCGTATGGAGTACACAGAAGTAAGAAAATTAAGAAAGAAGAAAAGGAAACTTTAAAAAATGAGAAAATTTTATATTTTGTTATGTACTACATTATTACGTTTTAATAAATACATTAAAAACATAATAAAGATAGTGTCATTCATTACGTCGTGTGTTTGATGCTAGGTATTAATCCCTTAATTGCAGACTACTAAAAATGCAATTGACGATTTAAAATTTTTGTTTCAATGTTCTCGGTATTGTTCCATTTTTCTATAATATACATTTTGTAGAGAAAAAATGATTGTTTCAGTAAATATTATTATGAACATGGCAAACTGATGGGAACAATGTTTAAAAAGCAGCTAAATTGAAACAATTTGAATTCTATTGTACGTCGACGATAAACGATGGCCCAAGTTATAAAAGTACATATTTGGAAAAAGAAACTACTTTCAAGAAACTGTTACATTGTCACGCAGTTTGTTTCAAAATTGGCTGCAGACAAAAAAATGTTCCATAATGTCAATAATATTGTTTTCCCCGCAACATCCATAATTATTACAAATGTCAATATAACGAAATATCTTTTATGCGATGTTTGTGGTGTAATAAAAGTCTGTGTTTCGATTACGTTTTTGATACATATTACTCATTTACATGTAATAATATAGAATAAAAATATACTATTAGTCCGATATTTAAAAATATACATGCGTTCGTTGTCACTGTTAAACTGTTGTAATAACAATGGAATAATAAAATAATTTACTCAAATGTACATAATAATACATGTGCATATTCATAAAAACAATATTAAACGCAATAACTTTTTTGTACGCGAAAAAAAACCAATAGGTCCGTCGGGACAGGAACGCAAGACTCCTTTCTAATACGTCTACTTTACAGCGAACGGACCGAAGAGAATCCGTTCAGGATCATGGTCTCTTCTATGATTTTCCGATGTACCGAACACTCATGATCTGACAACATTGCGTATTTTAGAGTCGACAACACTGTAGAAGTTAGACTAGTTGGGGTCGAGTGGATTTAACGTGGTTCAGAAACTCACCGTTCTCATAACGTAGAGGGCAGCAGAAAATCACTGACTTTTTACACTATCGGTATTTCGGAACATGAGACACGAAGTCCCATAAGATGATAAGTCTATCCTATATCTAGTCGGTGCTGTTACCCATTACGTGTGATCCGCGAGACAAGAAACAATCAAATTGCCACCAATATTCATTGCACCAATAAAAACATTATTAAAACAGTATTATATACACTGCGCTTTCCGTGATGAGATATGCGAGTTAAACGCTACACCGTACGTGTTCCGGCCTGGGCGTGCTGGGCGACAGAGTATGCCTGCATCTATAAGAAATACGTGTGGGCAAGGGGCGTGGTTTTCGTGCAGATAACGGTGGCGCGGGAGACAAATATCTACTGTACAATGATTGATTACTCCGAAAAGACAATTGTACAAGGAATGGGCGAATAAACGAGTAGTGTTCACTCCTTGTGGTTTAACACGTGTTCTTTAATACTTCACAAAACTCACAGAAATTACACGCATAACAAATTTAAATAAGCAGGACTTTAACAAAAAGGGTTACACACTAGAGCGGCGTATCCTAAATTACAGCGTTGCGCGTGCGAATTTAGTATAGCGCGATGATTCGATCGAACCGGCGAAGAGTAAGCGTATTTAAATGAGCACTGTACTGCAGGGCGACTGATTAGCGAATAATAGGATTACCGTTGGATTAACGTAATCGCCGAATTCGGTCGACGATTACCGAAGACGCGGCGTACGTGCGATCCGCGTGTCGCGAGGAACAGCTGGTGACGCTGACGTCACGCCGGCCTCTCGCGTAATCCCGAACAACAATCGATCCAAAAATATCTGTTTTACCGACTGTAAACGTGTGTTCGTACACCTGTATCCTGCATCCGCCAGATGACTACATCGTTTTTTCGTTTTTTATAGAAACTAAGAACCAGCAAATGTGTTAATTATGCTAGCAATGACCACCAAACAATGCGTAAGCATCGATTGAGCATTTAAACAACTTAGCCGACGATAAAAAAAATTTTCGGCTAACTTCACGGTCAAATTTTGATCATTTGATTACAAAAGCACGCTTGACCACCGAATGTTCTTATTAGACCACCAATTACTAGCAAGCATTACTGCTTCGACTAAGCTCTCGCAGAGCAAGATCGGTTAAGAAATATAAGTTTTATCCCCCAAAATGTGTTTCAATATTCCTGTATTCACTTCTCAGCCAATCCCACATTTCGATGCTTGTCGTACTGCAGAGGTACGAATTTTCATATATTCTGCTTTAATTAATGACCACCAAATGTTCTAATTAGCCACCAATTACTCTTTATCCACGATAGTGTTGTTCAAACTTTCATTATCACTCTGTTCGTCCATATTTACTTCTGAGTTAGTTGCCTGCTTACGTGTATTGTTATTCCTCTCGTTACTTCACTGACTACTGTCAAAACTTATTATGGTGCATTTGCACTTTGAAAAACTTAATTATCGCTCGGCGATGGATTATAACAACTGATGGCTACTAGATAGACAACTTACGCACTGCCCGACTTCGAATCATTCGCGAACCGACAACTTCGTCTGTACTTTGCTTTTCGCCGTACTACTTTATCTCTTGTGAATTCACTCTCGCATTATTCTTTCACTACTGCTGAATCAAGGTACTTCCATTCGTTTAACCTCGATATCCCGGACGAGCCCCAATTTGTAGGATTTCTCCTTGTGTAGTGATGTTTCCTTCGAGGTGGGAATTAGGAAGTAAATGATTGACACGCAATTGGCGAAAAAACATACTCACGCACACTATTTAATATGAAGAATAAATACAAAAGAAACAATAAAACTGACAACCGTTTAATTCAACTTCTGTAATCCTTGACAACCGAAACGCAACTCTAATTGGACTAATCTCGTCGACACGCACCGCTGTCCTCTCCTCTACCACGATCGTCACCTTTTTCCTAACGGCTCAAATACTTCGTGATCTACCCAACACTACTTCGCGCTGTCCTAACGCTTCCCACATATAGTTTCATAATTTATAATTATCTGTTATAATAGGTTTATACCTCATAATCTAAAATCTTATGCTATTTATTTATTCATGATATTATAACCTATCTCTATGTAAGACTAAAATTTAATTCCCAAACTAAAATTTAATTCCCAAACTAAACTGCCCGCGCAAGAGCGGGTACATCAGCTCGTATATACATATAAGGATAAGGATTTAGAATATTGTACCTCACACTACCCTGATGTATAACATACTACAAGTACAACAATATTATTTTAAACGTGTCTAACAACCCATGTTTGAAAGAAAGAATACTTCTTGTTAACACTTTCTATGTTGCGCGCGTCTGCGCGGATTCTCTTTTGAATTCGCCCGGGGTTGTAAATTCCAGGCTCGACCGTCGGGTGTGATAGTTGCCCGCCAAATTAATATTAGGCAATCATTTCAAGTTTATCGTAGCTGAATTGAAATCGTATGTTTGCTTGGCTGTTGGAGCTAACGAATCGCGAGTTAGACTGTGAACAGGTCTTGTCGAATACGTCTGGTCGGTACGAGAGTTTGTAAGCGGTATTGGTTGTGCCCTGAGGGGAAAGGCATATTCTTGGGTTTTCCCGAGTGACGTGGAGGTTGGAAACTTCTTCTTCAGGGCGAAGCGGACGCCAGCAACATATCGCGCACGTGATTACGGTGTGATTTGAGAGCGACGAATTTTCGTTTATAGCCGTATTGTCTGCGAGTCAGCGCGCTCCGATAAGGCCCGGCGCGGATAGGTCCCAGGTTTACCGTGCGCACGTGGCGGACTGCTAGACCAAATGTTCGAGTCTATTGTATATAATTCCTTTATGTTAACGCAATCTAAATTGAAACTGGCCGATGTAGAAAAAATCTAAAACTGAACGAGCTACGCTACAAAGGAAGTAAAATAATAAAAGTTAACGGTATCGTCTAATTCTGTAGCCGTCGTACCCGGTCTATGACGGAACATACTACATAAGTAAATATAATCCAAAGTATGTCGTGTTTAGTACCGTTTTAATCAGAAAAGTCTCACCAATATGTTAGTGCATGTTTTATTAACAAAAAGTTAAACATATAAATGTATCATAGTTTCATGAGTGCTGTCTCACCGATACCTGGGCATTTAATCTTCTTTTGGGCTCCCACCATTCAGCCGTTAACTCGTGAAAGGGGAGCCGCCTCATCGATACATTACTGTGTCTGTGTGTGGACGCTGCGTCTATCAGTAAGCGTAGAATAGCAATCTGTTAGATACACAGTGTGTTGTGTAACTAACTGTGATTTTGTACGAAAAATCAAGTTGAAGATATAAAGTAAAATATATTTCGTAGATCATTTTCTTCTGGCGAACATTAACTTCGCAGATTCCTCAAGCATTCATGGATTCAAACACAGTCTCGACCTCCATCGTCGAAATTCAATTTTCAAAACTATTAATATAAATTTTCAGATATCAATAAACCAGTATTACAGTAGGAATGAAGTGTGCGTTTTTTAGCCCGCTGTTCCCCCATAGAACTGTAAAAAGTACTCGAATAAATACATGCATGTCGAACCATCATTCAAACTCATTTATCTCAAGAACTACGCGTTCAGTTAAAAATTGTCAGGCGGTATTTAGGTACCCATGGCATAGATTCATCTACTAAATTCTCCGTAAGTCATGATACATATTAATACATTTTTTTAGTAATTATTATCGACGGCCCCAAATCTTTCCTATCCACCAAGTCCACGTTATCCTCCACCTCCTACGTGCCTTAATTATTCTTCTTGTTAAAATCTATCAACTGAAGATTCGTCGTGTTACAATATCCAAAATCTGGATCGGTCGGTTGGTCCACAATTTAATTTTTCGTCGCTTTCCAATTTTCAACAAACTCTGCCCTTTGTTCGTGAACATTGATGGGTTTCAACTAGGTGTCATAGTTCTCTTCCTTGTTCAGCATAGCCGACATCCTCACGGCGTTCTCCGAGTCGAAGATCGGGGAGCCAAAATGAGATCGTCCCTGACGTGATCTAAACCTGAATATCCCCTACTCGTCCTTTTCACTTTTCAGTGAGTCTCCTAGATTCTTAGGTGTGAGTGAGTAAGCGCGTTCATCGGCAAGTGAGGAAAGCATCGTGTAGTCTGGGGCGGACAGCATTGTCAGGTAGTCCTTCTTACCGCCTTCCAGCATCGTCGTATTCAGGGTCATGTAGGGATTGTTTAGGCTGACGTAGTGCTGGAATCGAAGAAAAACATTGATTACAAGTGTGGAGTTCGGACGTTTAGGCAAAAATCTTGAAGGGTTAACTTGGGTGTACTAGAATCAAACAGAAGTTAGTTGTCATGACGACCCAAATGAAATACAAACTGCATTATACGTATACTCTCACTGAAAGTATTATTCTGTTCCATGTAAGAATAACCTCGTTTCACTCGCAAGATGGATCTAAAAAGGCGTTGCAACGACCCAAACTCCACTTATGTACTGTTTTCGGTATCGTCGGTGACGCCATGCGCTTGGGCTATAGTGCTATACCACTAATTAGTAGGAGACCAGCAAAGATAGCGAGCTACGAGCAATCGCATGAGTCATAATCAGTCGGCATTAGTGCATGCTGCGTAGTTCGATCAACAACTCATTCGAGCGTGAGGTTATTCTAACGTGGGACAGAATTTAGTAATAAAATTTGGACAATAATGTACCGCAAAGGAAGAGTTAGTTGAATATTAACAATTTGTAAGTTGTAAGAATTGTAAATTTGTTAAATAATGATTAAACAGTGAATTTTATACATTTATGGTAAACTAAAATATGTAAGATTTGATGTACTAATAAAATTGATACAATTCAATAGTGTTCTTATTTCACCCTGAATCTAATAAGATCTCTGATAAAAGGTGCAATTTCCTACGAAATTTCACGTTTTATAAAGTTTAAGTGTGATCTTGAGTACGAAAAATCCACAAATATGTGGGAGTAGATTATAATAAAGTAATTGAATATCTTAAAATCTCCATTTACTCAAAAAAATGACCAAACTTACTGCTTTCACACTTTCCTCCAACAAGTCACCTATACTTTCTACCAGTTCCATAAAATTAGGACGCAGTGTGGGTTTGGCCGTCCAACACTGGTTCATTATAACATACCTATAAATTAAAAATTACAGAGCATGAGACTGTAACGTTAAATTACATTCTGCCGCGTATGATGTAACTGATTGTGCAACAGGTAGGTAAAATGGGTAATATCATTGATTTCCAAGTTTTTAAATTTAGTTAGTTACAATTAGATTGCGCAAATATTATTGCAAATATGCAGTCTGTTTCACTAGAGCGTTAGAACGATATCTGGAAAAACAATTGATATTTTTACAAAAATCAAAAATAGACTTATAGTACATCTAAAACACTACAACGCAATTACCTAATATAATGCATAATCCCCTAAATTTTCAAGTATAGCGTCTGCGCTTTTGCTCGAGTTTTCCGCGTATTCCTCGGGGAATGTCCCGGTTCTATATTTGTGTAATTTTATTAACTGCTTTAAAATAAGTATAGGCCTTCCACGAAGCTTGATGATGCTCCAGACATTTTTAATCGTATCAGTGTCTGATGGTTGTGAAAGCCAGTTTAGTGTTTGAACACCATTTTCCATTTTTCACGAAGTGTACAGCCGGCTCCGGTTTGTGGGATCATTGACTTCTTGTAACACCCAAGATGAATTATCTTCACCAAATCACTCTCTAATAAATTACAATAGGCCTTTAAAAATTTTTATGCAATTGTAAAAAATGTTAAAATGGTTTTGTCCTCTCTGTCACTTGTCATACGCGTTCGCTTCTCTTTTCAAAATTATCAACATTCTTTGCAACTCTACAGCGTTTCACTAATTTCCGTACGAACTCGTTTGACTTTTTCATGTAACAAGCCGCCGCTGTTGAAAAGATCAATTTCGGTCCTTCCGGATGTGTGCAAAGAAACACTGCTTCAAACTGTTTAGTTACACGCCGCACTCATTTTGAAATTCGAGTGTTTACAATGACAGACGAAGTCGAACTGACAGATTCGTAATGATGCTGTTTTAAACTTTTTTTAAATATCAATTATCTTTCCAGATAACGTTCCAACGTTCTTGTGAAACAGACTGTAAGTTTTTATGAATATGTCTCGAGAAACTAACATCAGACTGATACTTGCTTACTGTATTAAAAATTTGATCCAGTCCTACATAATACAGGAATCTCACTAAACTTTGTTAAACATCTTACAATATTGAGTGTCGAACAATCATATCAGCTACAAATGCATAAAATCTGTAATCGAGTATACAAACTGAACGTACATTTCAGAGGTAGCATACACCGGCTGTTCCATCCTGTAACCTTCAATCAGCTTCTGATACTGTTCCTCCGTTTCCATTCCAGGATACGGGGTCTCAGCCAAAGTGAAGAACTCCCAGAGAACTATGCCGAACGACCAAATGTCCGACTGAGTGGAGAAGATTCCATCTCTGATCGATTCGATGGCCATCCACTTGATAGGCAACCGACCATCGCCTTTCTTCTCGTAATTGCCGTATTTGTACATATTCTTCGCTAAGCCAAAGTCGCAAATCTTCACTACATTATTCTCGGCCAGTAGAATGTTTCTTGCGGCTAAATCACCGTGTAGCACCTGAAAATTTATTGTTAATCAGTGATCCGACTGTCTGTAAATCTGTGTAAAGTTAAGACTTGTAAACACTTCATTTCTCTGTCTTCAAAAATTGTCATGACACATTCTAATCAACATTTCGAAACTGTATAACTACTTTTAACAACATTTACAACTAATTATTGTTCTGTGGTTACACATTTAAAATTTGTGCCAACTTCAAAACGCCGCAGGGAACAATAAATTAACAGAAAACATAAATACGTGTATAATTACTTTAAATTTCAGTAAAAAATCCTTTTTTTTAAATTAATCTCAATCTTGATCGCTGTACATACATATAGGGTGCTACATTTTCCTCGATAATCGCATAAAAATATGAGTGAGTATTATTACTAACGCATACATTGGACGTAAAATAAAAATGAAAAAGTCTATGTATTAACACTAGTAACTTCCTTATACATATATTTTCGTGAGGGCTGAGAAAGCTAAACTGTACTGAGATGGTCCTTCGTCGAATACTTGGTAAATGGTCGAATGACTTAAAGAATTGAATAAAGCCACTGAAAAAGTCAATCAGATCCGTGAATTTATTGGCTGATTTCAGGATTCGATAAATTGGATCACTTGAATCATATTTAGTTTTTACTATAGAATAATAAAATATATGATTCTTTCTAACACATCTTGAAGGAGCACAAAAGTGATCGAGCTGCAACAATTGAGGACATGAGGTCTGACCATTTATAAGCTTGAATAAGAAAGAAAAATCGTTGACAACTCTGCGATCAGCCAAAAAAGTCATATTTAGTGTGTTTAATAAAGGTTCATAGTCGTGATCATTACACCGCATAGGGTTGTCTAGTCTAAAGGCAATGTACCTGATAAATTTATGCTGCACTCTCTCTAACATTAAGTCATATTTTGAAAATTGACGAGACCAGACTGTCGAAGCATACTTTAAATGAGGCCGGACTAATTGAAAGTACAGTCATTTAATGGTGTAAATATTTTTAAAATTAATAGAGAAACGTTTGATAAAGTCTAATGTTATGAGAGCAGTGCTTACAATGTTATCGTAGTGCTTTGAAAAATTGGTAAGTGGTCGGATGAAATGAAACACCCTTTACATATAAACAGTTAGCTGGGGGTACGAAACAACTGTAACCAAATTCTAGTAGAGAATGTAATAAATTTGTTTAATTCATAAATATGTAGAAATAAGGGATGTATCGATGGCACCTGCCTTTCTCTGACTAAGATATTCCATTCCGCGAGCGATCTGAAACGCCCAGGATAATAAATCCTGGCTACAAATCGTTTTTAAATCATGATCACTGTAGTCACAACAGTAGTACGTCCATCTCGGTTGAAATTTGCTGTTGCCGAGTACAGAACTGTCCGGCGACATACTAACATCCTGGGAATCCGTAATTGCACATCGATTGTGCACTGAATCGGTGCCTGAATTTCCACTGATACTGTGGACATATTTTATCCAATCAGATAGACATAAAAAAAACAAGAGTGTTACCATTGCAACCCTTCGCATGCGACCCCATTTTTATGGTTTTATGAACGCGAAGCATGAGTAGTTGGATTCTAATGCATTAAATGCCTGCAACCGGTATCTAGTTTTTATATATCTATTCCTACATGTTTAATAAATTAGCCGTTTTGTTTGCATGATGGCCTAGCTGTTGTGTTAAATTTGTTTATTAATCCATGAAAGTATATATTGTTACGACGCAATTCGCGTCGTGCCCCTCCCGGCCCGAAGTTTGACTCGGAGGCCGAAAAACCGAGAACCGCACCGTCCTCCGCCGTCTCGCACTCGCACCAAAATAGTATCGAAGCGCTCCTGGAGGATTCGTAGGGAGTCAACGCTCGAGTTTTCAGGACCGTGCACAACGGGGACCGTAAGACATGCAGGACGCGGGTATCTAGTTTCTAGTAGACAAAGTTTCTATCTCGGGGGGATAGAAAACAAAAGAAATTAAGGAAAAGGGGCTTCCCTCTCGACGACTGCGAGGATCGTTAGGCGCTGTGTCGACCGACGGTTCACCACGAGACGTACATACATATGTCGTTGATTTTACGTGCGGTACCTGCCTTGCGGCTCATCCACACGGCCCCCATGGGCGCGGAATTGGGATACGCCCAATCAGCGCGCAAGGTGTTGCCAGTTCACCTGTTCTCAGTCAATACCTGGGTGCGAGCCCGAGACATATCCACACCAATTGATGCGAACCCTTTCTAAAGCTCTACCGTCTCTGGTTAGACCGTGCCCGGTTGTGTTTACCGGAACTCCACGACGGGTGTGCAAACACACCCTCCCCCGCGATATGGCGTTACCACTGCCACCACGAAGGTCCAACCTCAATCGGCTGGGCGGGAATGCCGGGAGCCACCCCAGCATATCCCTGGGCTTGAGCCCAGCACCCATGGTACCATTTTAGGAATGGTTTTCCCCTCGAGCGCATCATCGTTCGCTCTACAAGTCTAGTTATCTCGCTTCATGACACTGGTCAGACAGCTCGGGAGGGATGACCCGGGATCGCCAATTCCCGCATGTTCACTTGTGGACACCTCTAAGTATGGTCTAAGGTACCTCGGGTTTACCAAGCCCGTGCCACTACAATCGATAAATCGGTGTGCGGACCCACGAGGATGCGAGCTCGGGTACCTCGGGGTCGCTAACACCCGTACCACAGCCGGCCGAGACCGACTGCGGCCCCTGAGGGGCACAAAACGTACAACGGGACTGGAATCGGCGACACGGACGTTTCCCTCCGAAAGGGACCCCAGGATGGAGGAGGCAGAGGGAGAGAACCTGGGGGGAGCCGCAGCAACCACATAGAAGGGTGTAAGACTGGAACCCCCGCAAGGCGGAAGGAATCTCCATGGCCAGGGAATTGTTCCACGGCGCGTCCATTCTTCCGGGAGACATGGAGAGAGTATGCGATCGCGTGAAAATCCCACGATTCTGGCATCAGTATCCTGTAAAGTTCTTCATTGGGCGTATAAACCCGGGTCCTCCCGCCCGTTACCCGTCGCTCATCGCTTCGTCCAAGCCCGCCCAAACCCGTAGCGGACCGAGCGGGTCGACATATATATCTAGGCGCCCAAACCCGCCCGAAGTTATCGCAGCGTGTGATCTTTCCACCTGTGCCCGAGTGCCCGCTAGAGTTCTGCATTGAACGGGCTGAGCGGGCTTAGCGGGCCTAGCGGAGATTCCACGGGTCGGGTGGGCTAGCACCAATCCGGGCGGGTATGGATGGGTTTGCGGCGCGCATCGTTGGGCTTGCGCGGTCCGGGTATAGTTCGGGCCGGACCAGCCCGGGTAGAGATAAGACAGCCGGGTGACGGGCGGGCTCAACCCGCCCAATGTAGAACTCTAGTATCCTGTCGTCGCCTAACGATACTCGAAAAATGACTTGGGTTGCGTTCGTCGAGATTATCACGTGTGCGACGTACATATTGAGTGAGTGCGAAGTCGCCGAGCGATAAAATTAGAAGGCGGAGGCGATCAGCCGAGAATCAAAGAGGTAGAGAGCGGTAGCGGCACCTCCGCGAAAGATAGAAAGACGAACATCGAGCAGAGCGGGAAATTGGCGTTCTTCCTTAGGTAAGCCTCCTCACATTGTTTCATACGGGCAACCTTGATCTCGTACTCGCCGGGACAATGCCGCGATAGCCGAGGTAGCATTTGATACCGCTAAAGAGTCGCGCGGGTGAATACGTGATTGTCGGGGGAAGGTTATTAAATTCGAATCCAGGCAGTTTCTTTCCAGGGCGCGGTATAATTTCGCGAAGCGCACCCAAGACAATGTAAAGTCTATAGTAGCCGGCGGTAGCGAAGTATCGTACGGCCGCGTATCGCGTCGGCGAATGCAATGTTTCGAGTGGTAGCGGACCACTGTGCTGCCGATTGAAATTGTTTGTAAAGACCTTGCGGATCGCGACGATAGTCGACCGTCGAACTACCAATTGTTAACCGCTTGCCGTACCTTTTAACTGGGAAGAATTCGGGCCCAAGCGGTGCCCACAAATGTTCGCGAAAAGAGCCGAAGCGGCAGAGACGTGTTGTCGGAACTTGAATCAAATGATATCTTGCAACTACCTGCGAAGTAACGAGGTCGACTCGTGATATTCATGTTTGGTTCGAACTTTTGAATACGAGTCAGACTCGTGATATTTATGTTTGACATGACATTACGACTACGAGCCTGACTCGCAATGTTTACGTTTGGCCCGAAATTCTCATCACGAGTCAGACTCGTCAAAGTACGGCAAGGGGTTAAAGCCTGTCATCTATTGTAACACTGTCTCGGTAGAGGCCGGCGCGGCAATTTTATTAAAACTTGTTATCTTATTGAGCCGAATTGCTTTCGTCGTGCAATTCTTTTTCTTTTGTTGTGTCGTTTCAACGGGATCTCCTCTCGCGGGGAGCGTCTTCCTTATCGATATTCGCGAACTCTTTTCTTCTCGACCGGCCTGACTGTTCGGTCTTCGATAGGGACTCGGATTTTGGTTCGGTATCTTGGAAATACCGATCAGCACTCGCGGGAGTGCCTGGCGCCCGGAAAATTGGATTGAAAGTCGCGGGAACGCGAATAGGGGGCCGGGACCGGGAGGGAAAACGTTGTACGTGTCGTGGAACGGCCGCGCGACCGGCCGAATTTCCTGTACCACGTAACAATATTTACAAAATGAACTGATAGTTTGTACGTAAGAGTAACTAAAAGAGATTTAGCTGGAAACGAAAGTTTTTATAGTATTTGCATTATGAGCTAGACAGTTACATATACATATTGTGTTCACATTTACGAACACATACATAGCAGCTGTATGCGATTAGGGAGACGTCAGGGACAGTTTCAGCCTTGGGAAACTTTTGACCTTCTGAACGATGACACGATGGCATCTCATCAAAGTAGTCGGAACTTATGAACAGGGTTTCCCATAAAGCTCTGAATATACATTAAGGGGGGAGACTCCTTTGGGGCCAACTCCGAATCGATCGAAGCGCGGATGTAAACAACCGGATGCCAGCGGAAACACAAAATCGATATTTGGGATGGCTTGATAATACGACATCTAGCGGCAGTACCCACAAATAAATTTGGTTCCCCGTTACCATCAAGCTGGGTTTGTGTATTTCCTACGCGAAGGCAGTGTTGCCGGAAAGTATCGTGTTTCTGACGCTGTTGCCTCATGTCCCGCATGCAATTCTACCCGTGAGGAGAACGATGGAATAGCTACGGCCTACGGCTCGTGGCGAGATTTCGATTATCGCCGAACGTCCAAGGCCCGCGACCGACCCATCGGCATACAATGTAAACAGACGTAGATGAGATAAGGAATGACGCACGAATGAAAATTTAAACTTTTACAATTTGCAATATATTTTAATGAAAATGTCATGAATGAATTGAAGAAATTCTCCCGATTAAAATGCGTCCAAATTCGAGTGTAATTGGACAATTGTTACTCATACGTAATGTTGCGGATGAAAATGATATATTATTGAAAATAATCCGAATGATGTCGTATTTGGACTCATTTCCACCGACAGAATCTCCTCAGTTCATTCGTGACACTTTAATGAATGTATACTGAAAACTATAAAAGATTAAATTTGCATTCATGCGTTTCATTCCTTATCTGTTTACATTGTATTTCGATCGTCAGTCGCTGGCCTCTCGCCCGGCGCTCAACAGCCCATTTATTCCTGCTGGCCAAAGTTAGTCGAAGGAACAGTCAAGCGACAATGTTCTTTAGCTAACGATGAGCTGAGGCAGACAAAAAAGTTTAAAAAGCCGCAAATCGATGTGATTCATATTGCACTATCCAAAATTCTATGCTGCTTATTTATTCACGGTATATTACAGTCTAGTCTGTATATACGAACTAAAATATGATTTGCAATATGAAACTGCCCGCGCGAGAGCGGGTACGTCAGCTAGTTATCCATAAAATGATTTGAATGTTTATGAGAAGTTAAAGATTAGTCTAGATAATTAAGTTTTAATGATTTAATTGTAATTAGTTGTTTCACAATGTACAGGGAAATGTTTGACAAAACACGCACAAAAATAGTAACAGACACTTTTTTCAACTTTTTTATCTTAGCCTATAATGAACATTCGAAATATGCCTCTTGTAGACTTATATATCTAAGAAAAAGAAAAGTGAAGCTGCGATGTTACAGTTTCCTTATTGCCATGACTAAGTATATCATTACTATCTATGTATATATATCAATAATACTGCTTAATAACAATAGTGAAATCGAAAGCTGGTTTTATGACCATTCTAGTCGACGTTCAACGAAACAGTATTCCTGTCTCTTCGTTTTCGATCGACACCCGATGGTGACTTTCAGAGTGACCTAGGTCAGGCCACCATTATCGGGCCCAGTCATAACAAAATTCGTCGGTCAAAGCAAAGAAGCTACGAGCACCGAAGTAGTAAAAAATCTTCAGGTTTATAAGTCGAAAGTACGAGTTTTTTAGTTTTGTAACTTATTTGTAACTCTAACTTGTAAGTCTAACCACTTTTAATAGTTTGTAACTTATACCCTGCAATTTTCAGCGTGTATGTATCTTAATTAAGTGTATAAGAGGTATTTATTAAAATTTCACTATAGGATCAGAAAAAAAATGAAAAAAGAACTTCTTAATATTTTTACTATTTTCTTCGCTATTCCAACAATTGTAATTTTTTCGAAATAACGAAAACATGTCATCTAATAAGTTAATCCTTCTAGCTTCTCAAAAAAACTCAAGTCGTTTGGTCCAATTTTTAAAACAAAATACGTACTGGAACAGGTGCAGACGCAGCGAAGATGATACGCTAAGTACGCATGCGACAGCAATCAGTTGTTAGTACAAAATCTATCTCCGCTGGGCGACGAATGAAAGATTGACAGAGCGTATGCGATTAATTGTGTTCCTTTTGTGTCTCTTTTATGAAATATTTGTGTAAGTATATAACACCTGCGTCAATTATGTCAATAAAAAATAAATAAATATCATTTCCAACAAGAGATTTGTATAGTATTCCATGTTTTTCGTATGTGGAATACCCGGAATATATATTGTGCCATTTTTACAATTTGTTTCTCGAGAATATCATGTCAAGTATCTCGTATGTAATTTCATTAATTAAAAAAATAAGCATCATTGCAAGTACGAATAAGAAGGTTCATCCTTGCACACATTAGTACGTATTGTTTAAATCTCGGATTTCTTTCCCTCGCGTCGTTCTTTTCCTACGTTCCGCGAGAATCGAAATCTCGCCACGAGCCGTAGGCCGTAGCTGTTCCATCGTTCTCCTGACGGGCAGAATTGTCGAATGGCAACAGCGTAACAAAACAATCGATACGATCCACCACGTGTTGCGAGGTTACATTTATCGACTCCCTCTGTTTTATCGATGCTCGTGGTAACGCAGGCTAAAGTGACTGACAAATACCATAAACGCCTCTAGCGGAGAATCCTTGAACTATACCACTGTTTATTTCTGCGTCTGGACGCATCAAATCGTAGGAACCAACTTGTGCCTTCCAGAAGTGATAAAGTGACTCAAATCGAATTTCCACGATAGTGTGATAGTAGTCTACAGGGTGGTCTGGTCTGCGTTTGACGAGAAAACCATTAAATCGTGAGATATTTGACAAAATGTGACTTGTGCAGCCATCTTGTGTGTTTTCATCGGCGTCTGTCACAATCGCACACTTTCTAAAATTCTAATTCTTTCAATTAGAATGTGTTTATTGGCGTTTATACGGACCAGACCACCCTGTAGGGAAGTCTACCCGTGAGTTCTATACCAGTGAAAAGTGTATTTGTGCAATTGTCGAGGCTCAAGTTGGTTCCTACGAAATCGAACGTCTCTCTTGCACATCGCATATACATACACGGTTCCCGTTGATTGTGTGAGTGCACGGACACAGCGCACGGGCCACGGAGTCTCCCCCCTTAAAACAAACTTTTTCGCGAGGTACTGATGATATTTATTATGGGTTATACCAAATAGTCTATGTCTAAAACTCTCCTTCTAAATCTAAACTTTTAATTGCCACAGCATAGATAATTTCCCATTTGTGCAGAATGGATAATGACTGTTATTAATGAAATAAAATGAAACATTTGAAAATAAGACATTAAGGCAAACCTATTGTTGCTGCGGACGCTGACGTTCCGCGTCAGGATATCCATACCGATACCACAGTCGAATTTACCGGTCGATGGATTAATTTGATTAATAAAATCACCCCTGTGCCGTAGTAAATAGTTATGCAAATTTCCAAATCGGCAGTACTCGACAATGACTAACAATTCACCTGAAAAAGTACCGAAAAGTATTAAATAAACTTAAAGAGGTTTCATAAAACCGCAAACTCATAAATTATACATATATTTGTGTCTGTCATGCAAAAGGTTTAAGAAACTGTGGCTGTAGGGGAGAGTGGGTAGGTTTATTTGGTTCGTTTTCGATTGATTTGTTATAGTTATTAAAATGAAAGATAAATACGCTTCAAATCTGACGAATTATAATTAGTAAGGTGTTACCATCCATGTTCCATTATGATTTCATTTTATTATTCCAGAGGAGTCTTTAAAAAGGTAATAGTTCCAAAACTAGTTATTTGGTCTATACCTCCCTTATAGGGGAAGGTTGGGACATTTAATTTTTGTATTCGTCTTGCAGTAAATATAGAAAAGTTTTATGTATGTATATATTTACTACCTACAAAATGGTAATACATGTATGTAAAAATAATGAAATAAATTAATAAAATTAAGACTCTGTAGGAATAACATAATAAACATAAAATAAGGACTCTGTTGTAATAACACAACATACACGTACATAAAGATATTGAAAACTGTTAATTGAATTTTTAATGTAGATTTTCGAAACTACTCAAGTCCATATCGAATTTAACAATTCTGTGTTTTGTTTGTGCTAACTACGTTATTTGGTCACTTCTTACCCATACCTCCCGCATCCGAACGTTCAGAATAATAGGCCTCTGTTGCTCAAACCACGTGTTTTAGATCCTAATTTGTATTCTGTAATTGTTGCTGATAAATAAGTTTGTCCATTAAACTTTTTTCCAACACGAGATATCTTATATGATCTTATAGCAGTGATTTATATCGGTTAGCAATTTGTATTAAAGTTACCATGAAACTGCCCATATACTTGCATAAAACTAAATTCGCACTGTACAAACTTCTCGCTTCTGTATGAATACTCCTACTACTGCAACAACGAACAATTGAAATGCAAATAAGGTATGCGTAACAAGGACGGAAATACACTAACTGACTCAAAATTACCTACTCTCCCCTACCAATGAGTAACCGATTAATTTTTCCTTGCGATTGAAATATTGTGTACATATTCAAAATATCTTGAGAACAATAGGCGACCATCGATTTGCTTTATTAAGATTCTCGAAAATAAATACTTTTGATAAAAAAAATCCAACTCAAATTTTGATCTCCAATATTCACTGGGTGTTCTGTGTAGAGATTCTTGTCACAAACACAAATCCGCAAGCCGACTTGTTCTATTATGCACAGTTTCTGAAAAACATGCGTTTTTGTAAAAACGCGCGATTTTTAACAAAAATGACTACTACGCGAAACCTAAAAACGTCTGAAAGTTCAATTTAGTTAATGGGTCATTCCACGCGAAATCGGACACCTGTTGGAGCACCATGTCGGATTTTGTTCCAATTTGGATATGTTATATATTTTTTATTGATATATAAACATATCTCGAAGGATTTTTGAAAATTTAACAAATTGTAGATTTTACAGCTGTTTGAAATTTAGGGTCAACCTTTTTTCAATAAATCATAACTATTGAACTAACAAACTCATCAATATGAGCTTTGCGGATACTTACAGTGGAGACATAAGAGTACCAAATAAAAATTATTTCAGCTAGAAAAAGATATTTTCTAATCATTTATTTTGCAATTGTTTTAAATGAATGCCCTGTTTTTATACTGCTGAACTATTTAATGAACTAAATAATAATACTCCGAATTCATGCTTTATCGGTAACGTCGAGTATTGACATTAAAATGGTAACAGGGCGACGTAACCCTGCGAACGTGGGACAGAAAATAGCATTGGATGATAGGCCTATTCTATATCTCGTCAGTGGTAGTTTTTTTCTTTATTTTTTTTTTACGGGGGAAACCTTGAGCCGGCTAATGTGGGGTTTCACCCACTAAAAACCCCCCGGTGACCCTCGGGCGTAAGGCTGGCAACGGGATCGCTCAGCATAACCGCGACCAGTCCCGCCCATTGCCCTCCCCTATAGGTGTTTAAGGGAAGAGCTCTTCTCTGGAGGGGGGGCAATTGCCCCCCCCCGGGACGGTTGCGATGCCGTCCCTCCACCTCCTACCAAAAACGCCGAGGGGTCACCTCTCGACGTTGTGTTTTCGTGGGCCGACCGCGAAAGGAGGTGGTACCCCCAGTACCCCCAGTACCATCTCTTGGGCCCGGATGCCCCGTGGGCGACGAGAGGGTCATTACGGCTGTGACTTTATGAATCGCGCCACCCACGGAGCAATCGTCGGTGGTACGAGGCTAGCCGGTACAGCTCCCCCGTTCGAGTCGATAGGCTTCGACGCAGCGTTAACTTCAATCAATTTTCATATCGCCAATTTTAAAGTCGCAACATTTTAAAAAATTTGTCCATAAAGAAGACAAATAGGACTACATCCTCAATTTTTTTTTCAAATTTTTCAATTGGGCCCTACTATTATAAAATTACATTTCTTTAAACCAATTACAAAATAAATGGTTAAAAAAGATTTTCTTCTAACTGAAATACTTTTGATTAGGTACTGTTATGTCTCCATTATAAGCATCCACAAAACTTATTTTGATAAGTTTATTAGTCAACAGATAATTCATTATTCGACCAGTCGACCCAGTGTAAATAGACGCTGCGTTCACTTCAATTAACTTTCATACGGCCAATTTTAAAGTGTCCATATTTTTAAAGATATGCCCATAAGGAGGAAAAATAGGGCTATATTTTCATTCTATAAAATTTTTAAATAGTTTGGTAGTATAAAAAGAGGGCATTTATTTAAAACAATTGCAAAATAAATGGTTCAAAAATATCTTTTTTTAACTGAAATTATTTATTTGCTACTCTTATATCTCCACTATAAGTATCTATAAAGCTCGTTTTGATCAGTTTGTTAATTCAATAGTTATGATTTATTGAAGAAAGGTTGATCCTAAATTTCAAACAGCTGTAAAAGCTACAATTTGTTAAATTTTCAAATATCTTTCGAGATTCGTTTATATATCGATAAAGACGCTCAATAATCGTCCAAATGATGCTCCAAAAGGTATCTGATTCCGCGTGGAATGACCCTAATAAGATAGAGGAGAGTTTTCTAAAAATGATTGTCAGTGCCGTAGCTGCATTGGTTTATATTCAAGAAACTCTCTTTTGCTTTTACAACTGAATTGAACTTTTCAGCATTCTTAGATTTCACGTTATACACCAGTTTTTTCCCTAAAATCGTGCGCTTTTATAGACACTCGTATTTTTCAAAAACTGAGGGCGATTGAGCATTTCAGCTTTCGATTGCGGGTTTGTGACGGCAAACTCTACAGGGGGCACCTAGTGGATACTGCCGACCGGAAAAGTAGTTTTAATTTGTTGGACAGTGTAATCGGGGTACGTACTTTTGGAGATATTTTTCGTACAAGCACCAAGTAGATCGACAATGTTCAGGTGCTTCCCAAGATGCGTCATGATCTTCAGTTCGCTGGCAAGGGCACAAAGATGCATGCCATTGGTTTTACGACGCGCCATTTTCACTGCAACGGTGGTAACCACCTCGTTTTTGCGAATTCCTGTAGCTTCTGCTTTCACGACGACTCCAAACACCCCACGTCCCAATATTTTCCCTGCTCAATATTATGAAATTTAAATACCATATTAGAAATGACCAATTATCAAATTATGCATACTTAGCAATTATTTTAATTAATGTAGTATATAGGGTATGTTATTTAAATCGATCCACGTGAATTTTTCTGAAATCGATGACGATTCCGAGAATGTTTCAAAATAAAATTTGAGTGATTTCGAGAGGTAAAAGTTGATGTAAGTAGTGTTTTTGCAGCTGGAGGCACAGAATAAAAACTTGCTGTTTTTATATGGAATCGTATATTTACAAACATGATAAATATTGGAGTTCTAATAGAAGATAATTGGAGTAATAATAGAAAATATACATATGAAAATTAACGATCATTAATCAGGATTTTAGTTACTTTTGTCTAGATATCATAGAAGTTTAAATACACTAAATTAGATTGATGTAAAGATAAAGCACTGCTTTCTATACATATGCGCTGATAAAGCAGAATTCGTTGAGTATAATTTTTTCTGTATGAATTTTTTTACATCTTCTGAAATTTTGTGTACTGTTTTGTAACTATTAACTTGTAAGCATGCATGATCTTTTAGAGGACATGGCTTATAATTTTCTAATGAAGTACTTCTTGGAGCACTCCATATGCGCTTCATGTCACTGCATGACAGAACATTTAATTTAGATATGTCATTTCTATAATAGAATAATAACAGGAAAGTATGCATGTAGTTAATATTGAATTGGAGCAATTATTGTTTTATGGTCATTCCACGCAAAATCGGACAGTTTTTGGAACACCATTTCGGATTTTGTTCAAATTTAGATATGTTGTAGTCTTTAGCGATATATAATCGTATCTCGAAGAATTTTTGAAAATTTTTTTAATTCTTCTTCCAGCTGTTTGAAATTTAGGGTCTACCTTTTTTCAATGAATCATAATTTTTTTCAAATTTTTAAATAATTTCCCGGTATAAAAATAAGGCATTTATGTAAAACAAATACAAAATAGATGGTTAAAATATTTCTTTTTAATGAAATAAATTGTATTTGGTACTATTATGTATCCACTGTAACCACCCGCAAACCTCATTTCGATCAGTTTGTTAGGTCAATAGTTATGATTTATTGAAAAAAGGTTGACCCTAAATTTCAAACAGTTGTAAAATCTACAATTTAAAAAATTTTCAAGAATCCTTCGAGTTACGTTTATACAGTGTGGGGCAATAACTATGTCCATTTTGAATATTGCCATTATTTGTAATAATATGAAAAAATGTTATATACAAAACTTATACGGTTTAGAGGGAGGCATATTGTGACACAAACATTTTCTGCGTGGGTGAAGGCATAACGCTCGTATGACATTCTCACCCGATTACAGAGCTTCGGTACTGTGGTGGCGTTGCTAATATTAAAACCCAATAGGATTGGGTCATTCCAAGCAAACTGGTCCAATGTCGTTGCTCGACCATTTTTTTTAAATCCAATTTGTTTGTGCATGCTTACACTCATATGTTCACACTTCAAAACAAGCGTCAGTTTATCCTAGTGATTTTTTGTTTTGTATATAAGAACAGACATTAAAATATCTCAGTGTCTGCTGATCACAGCAACATGGGACAAGAAGCATGTTTTTCAGAAAAGAACAAGCTATAATTGTAAACTATTATTGTTGCATACTCTATTATCTTATACCTAACTTCTCTAACCTAAATTGAAGTCCAGTTTGCATGTTTGATTACTAGAAAAATGAGAAGTTGAATTGAAAGTGTCGGCTAGACGGGGTAAAGTCTGAAACTTAATTCTGGTTTTTCTTGGTAGAGCACATGCCAATTTAATAAGTTTTAAGTCTGAGACTTAATCCTTTTTCTTCTATAATTTCTTAAACATACATGGGCTAATTATCTTTGGTGCGGGACGAGATAAAATTCTGAAATTTGGCCATTTTCTTGTACTATGGGCGTACATTACACAGCGAAAATTTGGAGATTGAGATTCAACTGGAAACGGAGATACTATCTCTGCTCAGTTCCAGGATGTAAGTGGATATAAGTAATAAAAATACTGATTCTTATGGGTATGCCGTTCCCAATTCTTTACTATTGCAAATCATTTGTTACTTCAAACTCATTCCTAGTCATAATTATGACTACATTAAACGATGAAACACCTATTTAAGTGTTTTATGCGACATGCTATATTTTATGTCTAACTCGATTGGAGTATCGTTCTTTCCCGAAGTTCCCCCAGAGAAAAGTATTTTGCGCTATAACTCTTTAGCTATGCGGAATATCAGGAAACATTTCAAATAAATGTTGTAGTATTTGATAACAGCCATCTAAACATAAAAGAAGTATGTAATAGACCGTTCCACTTAAAGAAAAAGTTGTGGTTCCCCTCTCCCCCCTGCCCCTAAGAGACAACCACCCGAAATATTTGTGTCCTAAATGGTTAGCTCACTTGCACTGTTTAATTTAAAAGAGATTTTACTTCGATATCCGTTATAGTTTTGGAGAAAACAGCTTGTAAAATTTTACGTGGGACGATCTATAGATCGAATAATGTAATGTTCTCGTTCAAGGAAAGCATAATACTAGATTCAGACTTGATTTAACAAAAGAACAAAGGTTTTTGTGTCAATAATGCAGTTATTAATTGAAAAAAAAGCTTCACCTAATTTCAATCTGCTCCTCGTAAACTCCCATTTTTTGTCATAAGGGAGCAATTCCGTCTGATCCTCCACAGTTAAGCTCGGATTCAAGCATTGTACCGCCCCTTCCTCAAAGTGTATCAGGACTGCTTCCATTAAGTTCTTCCCCATTTTCAGAAAGTTTGAAAATATTGATAAAATTCGATCGGCGAAGCGTTTCTATGTATACAGGGTGGACCACGAAATGTGATCAGCTTACATTATTCTACTGCTGGCTGTTTGATCAAAAACTTTTTTTGTTAATATAACATGATTCCAGGAGAGCTTTAAGATAATTGTATTAATTTTTTTGTCAACCCTTTTTTCCTAAAGTTTTTAAAGTCACTTTCAGTTTTTTATAGATAACCCTATAACTATTTTAGGCACATCTTTTAGCAGATACTGACACGAATTCGGCAAGCATCATAATAAATAATATTATTTCTTCTAAACCTAAGAAATATTAAAAATATATTATTACCTTGCTCAAAACGATGTTCAAAATGGTGTCCATCAGCTGCAATATACTCGCACAAACGTTTACGAAACGATTGCTTAGTTCTATTTCTGATGCCTGCACTGATGGTTAAGCATACTTCTACAATTCTTTGGTGCATATTTTCCGGTGTCCTTGGAATTTCCTTATAAACGATTTCCTCCAATGCACCCCATAAAAAGTAATCTAACAGTGTAAGATCGGGAGAGCGAGCTGCACAGTTGACTACACCGCCACGACCGATCCAGCGTCTTGGAAATTTCCTACCTAGTACAGAGTCTTCTCGATTATCGTCCCTAACTGGGGTCCGCAAGGGGACGATAATCATGGACACCGCAAAACGCTTCTGACCCTCGTGAATACGTTTTTTTTCGAAGCTGGAGCCTCGGCAACTCGCCTTTGTAGTATTCCGAACGTAGAAAAGGACAAGCCAGTGAAAAACAGAGAATAAGTTTCTTTTCCCACTCGACTCGGCTGCGTGGCCCGCCTGCGACGCTCTCGCCGAACAATGATTACATTAAAGCCGACCACACAGTCCGATTGTGTGTGTACCGTTTCGGCCAATAATAAAAATACGTGTGACTGAAGGTGATCCAGCTACATTTTATTGGTCGGCAGCTCTCTGGGCAGTCGCTGACGATTGAACGCTTCGACTAATCGTCGTACATTCTCCAGCTTCGTCCATCGAGTCGATCGAGCGTATTCATTGTTGCCCGGCGCGCGAGACAACGCTAATGCAACGACGAAACTTTTTTATTTTATTCACTTTTACTAGTATATTGATATTTGGTAAGATTAAAGTGATACCAAATATGACATAATTTGGATCATATTTATTCATGTAGAAACTGTTAATAGTTCATATTAGCTCATTATCGATTCTTATAAATCATAAGTAAATATGACCCAAACTGCGTCGTGTTTAGTATCATTCTAATCAGAAAAATCTCACCAATTGGTTTATAAATCGTCGATCGTTGCATTAGTATTGTCTCACCGACACCCGGGAATGTAACCTTTTTGTGGGCTCCCAACGTTCAGTCGTCGGTTCGTGAACGGGAAGCCGTCTCGGCGCGCTGCGGTAACAAAGTATGCGGTTGCCGAGTTCCCCGGCCCCCCCCCCCCCCCCCACCTCAGTGGTGGGGATGACGCCTGGACAATAATTGCATATCAACAAAGAGTCAATAATCGCGAGGACTCAGTACATACTTGCCATGCTGCCATTTCATAATGTGCTGAACAACCGTTATGTTGGTACCACATCTCATTATGATATCCTAACGGCATTTCATCGAAAAAAGATAAATAAAAATAAAAATGAAGGATCGGAGCTACTTTGTTCCAACGCCCATCGATAAAACGAAAATGAACGGCCTTAGATCCCGTCCCATACGCGAAACGAGGTTATTCTTAAGTGAAACGGAGTGTGGAGTAGATAAGCTCTCCTGGTTACGAGATTTATCTACAAAAAACTTAAGGTAACTTTGAAAACACTGGAAAAGGGGGTTAACAAAAAATTTGATATAATAATCTTATAGCTCTCTTTGAATCATATTATATTATCTAAACAAATTGTGAGATCCAACAACTAGCAGGAGAATAATCGAAGCTGATCACGTTTCGTGGTCCACCCTGTATAATACTGATAATTGCACTTACCCTTTTTCGACGGATCTTGATCGTGAAATAGAGCACCAAGATTATGACAACGAAAACCACGAAGGCAATTATGACAAACAATTCTTTGGGTAGTTCTTTCCCTGTGAACATAAAGAACACAGAGGTAAGAAACGTTATTCAAAATATTTGTATGATGTACTTCTTTTAATTTAGCAAATTGCCTTTTACTATTATTTGCTGATAATTTTCCAATTTTCCCCTACGATTGTCCACTCGACACGAGTAATTGCCACTGTCACTCTCCAGCAGATATTTTATATGCAACTCTTGATTGTTGTGGAGGAATATGAACTGGTCATTGGTCCACAACATAGTGCCATCCTTAAAACCATTAGAAGTTTGTATAATTTACATCAAGATGAGCATCCGAATACAATATTACGCCTCTACAAACATATCGTTTGGGACAGTCAACTTGAATATGGAGAAGAACAAACACGATATTACAGTCGTTTCATTCAATAGCGATTAGTTAATCATTCTCTCCTTTCTTTCTTTCCATTAGCAAAACTATATCCCGCCTACTTTTACCTAATGTCGCGATATGGTGAGTACAGCGGCATGATTCTAAAGTGAGCGACAAAACGCGGTGATAGTAATAATGTTAACCTATTGGCTGGGGGGGGGGGGGGGGGGTATTAACGTGCAACAACGGTGCGGCAACGTAGTTGCGGTCTGAAATACTATAGATTAATTAGTTAACGTACATTTCTTTAAAATATACTTACGGTGTCGGACGTCCATGTTACGTGCAATATTTACCGCAGTTTCATAGAAGAATGTACGATCGTCGCAATCGCATATACTGTCTTCTTGTTTTGAAAACAGAATATTTATATACAAAATAGGCAAAAATTATACGCTTCCTTAGATACATCTCTATTTTCGATAGTACCAGAAAACGCACCGACCATGATTTCTTCCGGCCACACGCAGTCGCCACACGTCTAATAAACGCATGTGTACGAGGGTAGAATGAAAATTCCCGGGCCTCACATAAAGAGGGCACTATTATCATCAATGTTTCGATGACGTTGCATAATTTAATTCTTTGTTGAACATGCTTACATTTGAAGTTTCAAGTCTTTACGTTATTTCGTATTGGTGTGACAGTCGGTCACAGTAAACGCCTCAAGTAATTTCAAAACAATGGATAAAGTGGAAATTCGTGCAGTGATTAAATATTTTTTTTAAAAGGCTCAACTGCAATCGATATAAAAAATGAGCTGGATTCAACGTTGGGGAACTCTTCTCCGTCAAGTACAATGTTAAGCGCTGAGTGGCTGAATTTAAAATGGGACGAACCAGCACCAATGATGAACCACGCAGTGAACGTCTCATTGAGGTGACTACGCCAGAAATTATTGAAAAAATTTTTAGAATCGTTTTGGCAGACCATAGAGTGAAAGTGAATGAGATAGCAGAGACTGGAACGTGTGCGTAATGATATGCAAAAACAATGTGGAAAGGATATTTCAATCGATTGTTTGGTACTTTATAAGCGCAATCCAACCGAACTTTTATGTCGATTCATAACAGTTGATGAGACTTAGGTCTACCACTATACTCTTGAGACCAAAGAAGTTGCTATTCGTGCGGGCAGGATAGCCTGCTATGAGAGCGAGAGAGAAAGCTATCTTACACATGAACGCCGATCGGTTTGAAAACACAGTTGTGTCGGCCATAACCGATCGGCAGTGAGCACAGTTCGTTAGAACAGTTCCATTAAGAACACTAAGAGAGAACTTAGTGTCTTAATTCTTGTAGATTGGATTAATTTCCCTCTTCCGAAAGAAAAGTTTATTATAGCGTGTCCGTGAACCACGTTTCGCGGAGAATCGCATAATTTATATATACATAGATTGCCCAGAATTGTATCCGCGTGCGTGCGTAGCATGATTCGTTCGTGCGTTTGTATTCAGTAGTCCGCTTAAACAATCATTCCTTTGTATTTTTACATTGAAACTTACACTGTGCACAACAATCAAAATTATTCCTTCACTCTCGTTTGACATCCTACATCCACCCGAGTCCGAAAAACGATTAGAATTGAAATTGCTTAATATTTGTGTCGCGACAGTTACGCCGCCAGGAATTTAAATCTTCGACCTTTGCGAAGAATCGCGTGCGCTACTCCAAGGCCTTACACATTGTAAGATACTACAATTGTTCAACATATGTTAACACACTCAACATAAATTAGTGGTAATTAATAGGTTAATTATTAGAGTATAAACATTCACATAAAGGGTCTAGCCGGGTAAGCATGGGCAAACGGCTCCAGCACCAATTTTAGTACTTATGTTTACCAAATAATGCTCTTTGCGTAAAAAACAACCGTGAGTAATTTCAAATCTCTATTCCCTCTCGTGAGGGTGATACGGGGACAACAACTTCACCATTTTTTTTCTTAACAACTAGTTCAGATATTTGAATGCTTCAAAATGCAGATAGTAGGTACTTTTTAGCTCTAAAACATATATTTTTTCCGAGATTATAAATTAATTATTAAGGGTAGAAATAAAGGAATAAATATTTTGGGGGGTGGTTTTTGCAAACATCCCTTCGAGTGACACCTACAAAAAAAATCAGAAGTAACGCGTCATTATTTAGTTTATTATCGATATAAGTTGCAGGAGGGTCAGATTGGTGGAACATATTTAAAAAAAAATAAAACCTATATAATACTTCTCACAGATTATACTAAAGGGGCCGCATGATCAATTGGAAGGCCGAAAAAACGTGCATGTTTAGGAATTTTTTTTAGGCAAACCTAGAAAGCTGTTGATAAATGTGATTATGTTGTAAAAGTTACGTATTCAGTAAGTTTCAGCAATTTTTTATCCAACAATAATACATAGTATTCACGAAGCGTATTTTTCGTGAAACGCTTTGCAATAATTGCCGCTACTTGAAAATGAATCATTTGAAATCAAAAATTCGAAAAGTTTTACCTGGATAGTATGTTAAAATATTTAGGAGAAGAACTCGTTTAAAGTTTTGTGCGTCGTTTTCACTTTAATAAAAAAGTAATTTTTAACATACATCTTATCGATTCTTGATCTTCGAGTCCTTTAACTTAATCTTCCTCATCGCTGTTTTCCTGAACATCGGCAGTTATTTTCATTGCATCAAATAAATTCGTCAATATTTCTGCTGGCTTAACAATTTTTTATTTGTAACGCCCATGACATAAATAATAAATAATTACCGCCACGTGAGAACAGCAATCAACTGTTCTATTGTCATTAGCGCAATCGCAGGTATATCGTTGTATACCTGTGTAGCTGTTTGTGTTCGGTTGGTACTGAACGTAGCATTGGTATGTCTTACTATTTATATGTCTTGAGCGGACCTCCATTTTTATAAGATTACTGTTTTCTTCATAATAGTCGTCGTTCAAAACATCCTCAGTGTTCATTAATTCGGCAAAGTAACATATTGCTTGTGACAGCTGCTATGTACCGCCAAACAATAACGACGAAGGTTAAGTTAAAGAACTCAAAGACCAAGAATCGATAACATGAAAGTTAAAAATTATTTTTTTATTAAAGTGAAAGCAACGCTCAAAACTTTGAACAAGTGAATTCTTCTCCTAAATATTTTAACATACTATTGTAATCGTTCCGATTACATAATCAAATATCGTAGAGACACGTACATATGTATATATATATTTATATATAAATACACTGAGCGTCAAAATTAAGGAACCACTAAAATTTTCCCAAAATATGGGTCATTTTCAAATGACTATATCTCCGCGAAAAATAGTTATAAAAAATATTGCATACGACCATTTTGTAGCCTGAAGTTTCTGGTTTTTGAACCGGGAATTCAAAAATTATTTTCACGTAGTATGTTCCATTTTTTTAAAGATGAAGCGCAGCAAGCGAATGTTAAAAAAAGTTGGTCAACTTTGAGAGGATGCGTGGGCCAAATAAAATTTTTTCTGGTAATCCCAATGGAACACTTTTAGAGAGCAAATTTTTTTCTTTAATTTTCTTGTTTTAATTTTGTTGAACAGTTTTTATTGGCTGAATTATTCGTCATCACATGAGAAAAGGCACTTTCAAATTTGAGCGCCTGTAACTTGCGAAAGCATGATCGTATAGAAAATTCCAAAAGAATTTTGGAAAGCTGAGAGATTTCTTTTTAAATTCCTTCAGTATCCAATTTGTTGAAAATTTTCTTCGTCGTATACAGTCCATTTCAAAATAACGTAAAATATTGCATAATCACCATTTTTCACAAAACACGATGCCATTTCAACAAAAATCGTGGAATCTTTCATGTGTCCACGTTTTTTTCAAGTTAAAGGTACGCGTAACGCCTGTGCCAGAGGCCGAGCTGATCAGATTTTTTTTACCCTATGCGCTCGATAGAGAAACTTGCGATATGGTCTGAAAAATTGATGAATGACTCTTTTGCGGTACGTTTCCTCTTTAAGGGGGGAGACTCCTTTGGGGCCAACTCCGAATCGATCGAAGCGCTGATATAATCAATCGGACACTAACGAAAACACATTATCGATAATTGGAACAGCTTAATAATATGACATCTAACGGCAATACCCACAAATAAATTTTGTTCCCCATTACCATCAAGTTGGGTTTGTGTATTTACTACGCGAAGACAGTGTTGCCTGACAGTATCGATTTTTGACAATTCTGCCCATCAGGAGAACGATGGAATACCTACGGCTCGTGGCGAGATTTCGACTCTCGCCGAACATAGGAACAGAAT